TTTTGATTCTCCATATTTTGCATTGGTATTACTTCAACGGGTTTGTGTGTGTCTGCCTATATATGCGCTTGTATTTGAGGCAGTTTCCTCTGTCTGAAGCATTTGATTTTGTGCCAAAATCTTCAATATATCTTTACGTCGAGTTGGGATCTATCTTTGAAGTTTGTCTAATTTCTTTTTAAAATATTGCTAATGGCACGAACTTTTCCCCAAACATTCTTGGTTTTCAAAGAGCCCTAGGATTTGTTAGCATTACATATTTTGAACCGCCAACTTGACAGAAAGTTTATTCTACATCGCGAGCAATAGAAATTTCGTTAAACGATTGGAAGGTTTCTTTTGAAGAAATCGTGCTATTTTGGAATTGGATTTAATTAACTATCAAGTCTCCCTGCTTCGTGTTGTAAAGTTACTGTTAAAGTTCATTTCACTAAGTCTAATGAATGTTGACCGGTTGATTAATTAGGTCGCTTATTTTGCTTTATTCTCCATTTAAGCTGAGTGTGTAAACTTGATGAAATAATTTCCCTTGAGATAATAGTCATGCAGGCGAAATTGATTTTTCCCCATTAGGAGTTGGAATTCGTTCGTCAGTCTTTACCTGAGCTCTGTTTTATTAATGCGCTTTACACCAAGCTGAGAATAATGGTCCTATTTGGAAATATCTGACTTAGGTCATTTCTACAGCTACGCAAATAGGTTTTTTGACCCTTTTGACGTTAAAACACTACTTCCATAGTCTGTTACTAATTTATTATTATTTCCGTTCATTCGCGTACTTATTGACTCTTGTTTGAGTTCATATAGAGAATTGCCAGGTTGTAGAATGTCTTGTGTTTCATTGGTCCATATTCCATACATGTAAATATTGTCCCACCCCAGAGACTTATTCTGTACATCTGCTGTAATTTGGCTATTTGATTCACCTAATTTTCGTCTCATTCATCAATTTTTAATGTCAACTGTATATATAGTGTCTCATTTTTTATAACAAAGCATGCTATCGCTGCATGTCAGTGTATCTATTACTCATCAAGTCGTGCGGTGATTGGTTGATAAGCGTGCGCGCTTTCTCTGAATCACACTTAATAATCAGCGGTTTGTGTGCGTGTGAGCTTTATTTGTTTCGGCCTAATTTTAAAGGTTTAATTCTTTCTGCCGCCTATTCATTCATTTGCCTTGATATCGTTGTCAATTAGCAAAATATGTGCAATTTTGGGTTTTGCTATTTAACAAATAGTGTGATTCCCTTCATACATCGATTTTGCCTATTTGAACTGCAGGATGCCTGTTCTGTATATATATATATATATATATGTCTATATATATGTATACATTTATATATATGCGTGTTTGTGTGCATAAACGATCGATGTGTTCGTAGATAAATGTAGGTTCCCTGCTTTTAGTCCGTCTGAGGTCACGCGGTTTGACCTCATTGTTTGTTAGCTAGTCCATTCATGCATACCATCTGTTCGGACGTATTCTCAATATTTCAGCAGTGTGGTTTAGTAATTAGAATCTGTGCATATCCCCGTCTAGGCTAAATGTTTTTTTTTTCCAAGGATAGGTCGATGAACATGAAAATTTTCCATCACATCTACCATGTTTAGTTGTGTTAAAAACAGTTTTATTTCATGGGGAGATCAAGATGACGATTCAGTATTGCTAGTGGTGATTATGTCTGTCTCCGATTTTTGCTTCAATTATATCAAAAACATGGTTAATTTAGGTCTTTTTTTCCGGCTATGGCGGGGTTCTACGCCACTTTAGTTTTTGAAATCGGTAGGAGGAGAAAGCGAAATCAGATAAAGTTAGGGAAGCAGGAACATATAATTGGTTTTTGGTTTGTTCATATGACTCAATTTTACGCGTCGCTTGGTTATTACGTGTATGCCATCGGGCTGTCTAACACTAGCGCGGAACGTGAATCTTGATGTGTGAGTAGTGTTCTTCAAGACTCTTTATTCCTTGTTTGTATTTTTACATCTTTTGAAATTTTTTCGCCTTTTCGTGTTAACATAACTTACCCTTAAATCAGCTACTTATCAAGAGTTTATTTGGACCGCATCTATTCGCATGTTTTTTTGTATTTTGACCGTCTATATGCTCTCTCCGCAGGAAATGCTTCACGTTCTAATGTATTGTCGATATACTCGTTTGTTAAGGAGTTCGATATCGATTGCTACAGCAATAGCTAAATCTGGACACTAAGGGAAGTGCCAATAGAGGACTAAACGTCATTGTCTTCATATGTAAAGTAGGCTTTTTGTAAACATCGTTCTTTTTACGCATTTTCAACAAGCGTAGTTAGCACTGATGGTCCTGAAAAATCTATGCTCACATCTCTGATCTCTGGATTATTCTGGGTTGAAGATGTCTTTATTGGTAATTTTTCAGTTTTGTTTGTCTACTGTTCTATTTTCTACTGTGGTATTATTTTGACATTTCAAAATTTACTGTCACTAATAAGAACTATACCTCTGTGCTAATTCATGAATTTTTATAGCCTGTTGTTTTATGTCGTATATGTGTGTATATACTTCTCTAAAGCGCGTAATATATGCCAAGTTGTTTTGAGAGTGGACATTTAACCCAAAATCCTCCTTAGAAGTCACAACTGGACCAATCAGAAAATTTATTTTCCAAATACGCGTGTGCCCATAGCAAAACTTGCCCCTAGCAGTAGTAGTGGTAGATCGTTTGCTAAATTTGTTTCAATGGGAATTAATTTCACTACTTAATTTTATATATGGATATATAGTCATATGTGCTTACTACATAGTTTGTCATATTTCAGAAAATAGCTGTAAGTTTTGATGACTATTTATTTTTTAATAAGTCTTTGATGTTGATATTGTTTTTTGTGTTATTTTAACCTATTAAATTCTTGAATTTTAAATCACTCTTTATTAAATTTTATGGTGAGATGATTTGTTCCCAATTCTCATTTAAAACGGTTTCTAAAAATATTGCTACTTATATATGTCTACAAAATTAAATTTTGAAGATAAATATATTTTTTTATTTGGGGAGTGCTTCTTCGTTATATATATATATATATATATATATATATATATATATGTCATAAATTTTGAAATATTTTTTTGGGGTTTCATTTTTAGCCTTGTTGCTCGAAATTTATTTATATAATGCGGATCAATCACAGTCTGATCTTATTAGTATTTAAATTTTATCCCCACATTTTTCAAGTATATTTATTTATATTTAATCGTTATAACCATTTGGGTGTACACACGTTGATCATCTAGGGTTTTCATTCATATTCACTATGCACACAAGAAGCTAAATTACGATTGGCTCAGCCACATTAGTGTATGTGAGTTGTGAGCGCGAGGTGGCACGGTTGCACCTAAATTGACCCTAGCGTCCAATCAGGTTGTGACGTGCAGACATTGATTGATTTTTAGTTTGCACTTTCGAGTCGACGCGTGTATATTTTGGCACACAAAGTTGTACGCGCAGCACTCACGACCGCACTTTCTGTGCACGCATACGACCTTGTGTTGTGATGTGTTTGCATTCACCCGCCATAAATTGAAATTTATATTTGGTGAATTTTTGTGCGATCATTTGGGTGACGAGTAAAGTGATGCCTTTATTTATTAACTGTATTTTTGTTATAAAGCAACTATTAATCAGCCTTTTCCTTTTCTTTAGAATACGTACGTCGTCCCCTTGATAGGTAAATTTTCAATTTTTTTTTAATGCTTTTAATAAGCGATAAAGCCTAATTAGTACAGTAATTGCTTAATTATCTTAATTGCTAAAATTTTAATTAGGGTAATTTATGGTTTTAAATGGATAAGGGAATGCTAAATAATTAGCTGTTGATATTTTAATCGATCGGTAAAAGATTAGCATATATATAATTACAGGTCTAAAATGTTTCGTAAGATTGCGTTGTTAACTTGATATTTTTAATAATTACCACTAGCTCATAATTTTTTAGAATTCATTTCTTGCAAAGGCGCATTTTTAATCGGCGCAAATTATTTTTAATCTACGTCGCATTTATTTTTAAGTTGACATATCTTGGGCGTAGAAATTATAGTTGTATGGGATTAATTATCACTTATGCATTGTTACCATAGAGGATTGATTTAATTACTATAATTTACACTATGGCAAATAATTTGCAGTTGGTTAACTGTAAGAGGGGAGGGGGGGGGGATTCAAACAGATGTTTTGAGTAAAGTCAGGATGTCGAACGGTCTTGTTTCGCTTAGTTTTTAGGTTTGGGTTGGGAGGCTTTAATGGGCGGGTAGCTGTCTTTCAAAACTTCATGATTTGTCACCTGAATTTCTGAGCTAATTCTTGTCCACGAAATCCAGCGCTTGTTGACCGGTTGCTTAATTATGTTCATCTTTCAGTGCTATTTCTCTGTCACAATGGTGGAGAAAGCAGTGATTTTGCATATTGCCTGCAGATTGACTTGATATTAATATAGAACAGTTAAGGTTGTGGTTTTTTGAATGCATATTTTTTTTAAATTATATCTTTTTATGTGTGTTGGCATTAAATTAGAGATGGATTGTAAAATATTTGTTTTATATGTATAGGTTCACGCACATTTATTTAATCAAGAACACCTCACGTGTGCGCCCTAAATGTTCACTCAAGCTGCTGTTGATGGTGCGTTTTAACGCAAATAAAGTTTAAGAAAGAAGGAGGTGGTGGTGAAAGTAGTCTGTGTATGTATAAAATTTAGATCAATGTCTAATATAAATGATGATTTCCACCAATCAGCAAACACATACACAGAATTTTCATTCGGACATGCAAGAACGCGTTGTGTGTGTTATTGTCGTTGTAGTTAGCTTGCGCGCGGGCTAATAAACGCAGGTTTTGCGCGTGTACGCCTCTTAATAATGTACACTCAACGAGCTATAGACTATTATATGAATTGTTACTTCTAATTTATAATAATCGGCTTTACTTTCTATCTCTTCCACCTCCCTCTTAGGAATTTTGAAAATATGATGGATGCTTCTGAAATTGGACTTATCCCAGTTCATCAACAACAGCAACCGAGAAGTGAGTCCCACGATCTTTCAATTCAACCTACTACACCTGAAGCCCCGCCTACTCTTAGTCTGAATTCACCACCTGTTGGTTCTCCAATGATGGATAATCATCCATCGCCGGCTAGTTTGGGCAAACTCGATGACAACACCATGCGACATTCTCATCCGCATTCAGTTCATACTCCTGAAGGGGGAAGTGCCATGAATCTGAGCGGTCAAATCAAGCGAAAGCGTGGACGTCCAAGGAAGTACAACTACGATCCCGCTTTTCCCCCTCAAGTTCCCGTCACTTCTGCCCGCTTGAGTCTTCCCGCTAGTCTTACGGATATGAAGGCAGCTGGGTTGATGTCATCGGCATCTGATGCAGAGCCGGCCAAAAGAGCTCGAGTCGGTCGTCCACCTTTAAAAGAAACCCCTAAAAGTCCTAATGTAGATATTTCGGAATCTGCTGTCGCTGCTGATGCAAACGGAGAGCATCAGGAAAAATCTAAGGTAAATCAGCATCACCAACATTTGGCTTCTCAACAGCAAGAAAATAATCATCCACAGCAGCAACAGCAGCAAAATCACTCCTCAGTTCAACACCATGCACAAAAACCTTTGTCGAACAATGAGACCAACAAACACCAAGCTGCTGCTGCGAGATCAGCGACACAGTCTTCAACGATAATAGCTTATTCTTTGCCCATAAACGGACACGGGTCAGCAATTGGCCTAACCACTTCAGCCACAGTAACAGATGCCTCTGCTCCTAGCCAGGCTCTTTCATCTGTTCCTCAAACAACCTCAAATGTTGCAACGGGTACTGTATCGATGAAAGCTGCGTTGATGATGGACTACTACAATAGTCCTTTCATTACGACGCAATTTAGCGGTCCGGCAGCGGCTTTAATGTCTCCTCCGCCCCCTACAAATTTACCCACTCAATCTCCAAATCCTGCCTCTGCTTATTCTACTGTGGATATCAATCTCCTGTATAGGCTTTTACCGCAAGTTACTGCTGCCGTAACAGCCACTCGATCTGGCGGCTATCCTGGTCCTCATACTTGGACCAAAGAAATGGTCGCTTCTTTTATTTCCATGCTCTCTGGATGCCAGAACGCTGCCTCTGCGTTTATTGAGAACGTAAGAAGCACATGCTTTCGCTTCCTTTTGCGTTAACCACAATTTACTGTAGTAACTACTGATTATATTTTTCTGTTTACAGGATATCGATGGGCAAGCGCTGTTGGTTCTCGGTCAACAGGACCTTATGACCAACATGAAGCTAAAGTTGGGACCAGCTGCAAAAATTGCTGGAGCGATAAGGACACTCCGGCATGCATTTATGTCACTCCCCGCGGTTGACTTGTCTGCGGACCAGGCAGCGGCTGTGAGCTCTGCGAATAGTCGTTTTCCAGCATTGGGAACGGCGTCGTCTGCTTTAACGGGGAATAACTCCCTTATGCTGAATGCCCCCTTTTCAATCAATAGCCTTAACGGCAATGGAGACAATCAGATCGGACACTAATTTGTCTGCAATCTGTTTTGTGTGTATTCGAGGATGAGAAGCAGATTGAAGTGTGTATGTTTAGAAAAATGGATCCCCTCCTCCAATACAAGTGACCTTTCTATTTTTCACTATATAACAATCATTCCGTTCCTCTTTCCTTTCTCACCTTCCTCTTAATAATTGTTCCTCGGGTTGTTTGCACACAAAACGCGTTTGCACCCTTTAAGCATTGCAAGGGAAAAGTTTTTACAGTCAGCATCTTACTCATTGTATAGTATAAAGCCAATAAAACTTTTGTATTCGAGGTCTTCCGTACTAACCCAATTGGTGCTCCGCAAGCCTAAGCCTCTGTTTTGTGGGGATCAAGCGTACTTTCTTAATTGGGCGTATTGAATTTTGTGTGTGTGTGCTGTGTTCTAGATTTCGGACGCAGAGTCCATGGAAAAATTCTGGTCGTTTAGACACTAGGAACAAGCGATTATTTCTGTTTTTTTCTACGCCCACGAAGTTTATTTACTATTGCTTGGACTTATTTTTTGTGTGGCCGATCGGGCTAGTATTGGCTGAAAGTTAGTTAATTAAATGTTTTTGAAAGTGGTAGTTATATTGAGCTCTACATAAGGAAGGATGAATTTAACTGTAATGAGGGTATTTTCTTCCGAATGTGTGGCCGCGTTTGTCTCGTCAGTTTAGTTTATATCCATTTTTTCTAATATTGGATATTATTATTCATTAATTTCGCCCGGGATAGTTTGAGCTCATTTGTTATAAGTGTGTGGAATTTAGAAGTCAAATTTAGAATTGTTGACTTTATTCCATTTTTCGCCATGCTTTGCATGAAAATTAATCAATGAAATTAGGTAATGCAACGCATAAGCTTTGCTAATGAGACTTTCAGTTTTGTGTTTTGACTTGAAAATTTTTTCTAAATGGCGCATTTTTTCACTTTTGAGTTTGATGGTTACCTTTGTTGCAAGATGATATGAAGGGTTGAAAATATTGCCTAGATATTTTCGATATATTTCAATGTTAAAATAAAGGGCTCTGATAAAAATTCGTAAGCACTGGACGTCAAAATATACGTATTTTTGATTGCCAAATCCGATACTTGACTTGTGTTTTGGTAGGAGCGCGAATAGTTGGGAGAAAGTGTTGTTAATTTTTTGCTCTTAGGCTCATAAATATTTTTAAGAAGGATAAATTCCACATTCAAGCTTATTTTGGACCAATCATCAATGAATATTAACTTGTATGCACATCTTGAGGTTGGAAATGCTGAAGCACATTAATTCAAAAGTTGATTAATTTATAGCTCTTTCTAGACTTCAGTCTAGGTCTTTTTTCTGAAGGTTATCATAGCGGCAGTGGTGCTATCAATCAAGCAACCGTATCTTTACAATTTTGTTTGTGATATTGGATCAATTATAACCCAAAGTTTTAGTTAATTACCCACGTTTATTAGTGCTTTTGAAAAACAAGTGCGCATTTAGTCAACATTTAATATTTCAAAAAATTACATTATTTGGCTGCGTTAATGCAGTTAAGAATTTTTAATTATCAGCATTGCATTAGATATTAAATATTTCCAAACCCCTCTATGAAACGTCCTTCTTCCAATATTTATCTTCTGACTACTTGTTCGTTCTATTACTGTTTTCTAGGGAGGTTGAACAAGCGAGAATTTTTTTCTTTTTGATTATTAAAATCAAATCCTTTGACAGACAATTTCAATAAGGAATGATGGGGAAAGGAATGCTAGTATCGGGATAAAAAATTTCATTTCCATTTAATTGAATTATATTTACATTACTGCAAAGTTCATGATCCAAAATAAAGCGCTACGAGACCTCCTAATCACTTAGCAAATTATTTTTAACTATTTTTTGACCCTATTAACTGCTCTTTTCAATCGTTTCCCTACCAGGGGCAAGAGATTGCAGAATGATATACATAATATTAATACATCAGTGCTATTCCAACGATTATTCAAGTAGACATAGCCTATTTCGCAACGTTAGATTTTCCATTTCACAATATATATAGTTTTGTTTCCTTTCTCCTTATCGATGCCAATTTTTTTTGTAATTATTATTTTTTTAAATGCATTTAACTAACCCGATTTCTAGGTGTCTTCTGATAGTGTTCCTAATCCCGATTTAGAAAGTTAAGGCCCATCCATCGCATGATTTCTTCGTATAGTATTAAATGGAAATAATAATAATAAAATATTAAATGAAAACAATTGAGCTTTTTTGGTTTCGTCTACTTCAAGCATGTCCACACAATTGTGAATTTGGTGTTGAGTGCCAAGTAGTTTAAAATAAATGGAGTTAATGGGATGTTCAATCCATAAATAATTAATGAAAAGCGATTTTTCATTAACTGATTTCATTATATAATTGTTGAATGCCAGTGCGAGATCATGAAATTTTTTTACAAATTTGACATATTGCATATTTGTTATAGGAAGAAATTCTGTCTTTTGGTAAGTAAATAAAAATATTTTGTGGAACTCTAATTAAAATTTTCTGTCTGTTTATATAAATAAAATCTATTTCAATAAAAGTACATTAGTCGATAAATTAGAAGCAGTCAATTGCAAATGGAGCTTTTTAGCAGATTAAATGGAGTATTTAACTAAGAAGGTTAGAATTAGAATTATTTGTGAAAACGGAAAATTGACAATGTCATTTAAATTGTAATTACAAATTGCTAGAATATTAAGATACTGAATTTTTAACCTGTTCATCTTTGCTATATATTCAACAGAAAGTCGCCATTTTTTAATATTTTCTCCTCACACCCATTGGAGTAAAAATATTTGAATTCGAAGAATAGATTATTATGACTGAGCAAATCTTATGCAAGAATTTACTTACTAATCTACTGATTGCTTGTGAATTTTGGAAAGTAAACTATCCACTTGGTTAAAAATGCAAAACTTGAATTTGAAAATTAAATGACTACTCTCAGAGTCCTTTTGGGCTGTCCACCCTACACAACTGCCCTATTTTGCACTTTCTTTAAACCGATTTCAGTTGCCCGTCACAACTGGAAAGTGTACATCTTTGTTGATTATCGCTATGTCATCCACTATTGATCAAAATATTTTTTCCCCTAAATTTGAAAGGCCATTGGGAGGTAGATTTATTTTTGCTCAGACGGCGTGACAATCGAAACATCGCGAATATCTTCAGTCCCATTACAACTAAAGCATTCAACTTTATCCCTGGTTATTTAATTATCTTAGTTAATATAAGGACAGAGTTCGTCGAATTCACCACTAATTCAATTAAAACGCCTGGATGCTTAAGAGCAAGGTGAAAACATGATTGGTTAAAAATTAGTGAATTAGTTTTCATTTTTTAAATTGAAGGTACTACCATCAAAAGTGACAATTAAGATGAAATCGGAAAGTTAAAATGAAGGAAAAACATTATCTAAAATTTTTTAATATCCTAGATGCAACTAGTGTAAAATAAGGTACATAGTGTTTCAAAATGAATGATTTGAGGGAAATGAATATGAAAATTAAAGAAAACTCATGAAGCCAAATAGTACGCTCTTTTAAATTTCAACGATTAAACAGAAGAAATAAACCCTCCCTGGAATAGAACTGAGTTATCTTCTATTACGATTACAGAGTTTAAATAATTTTTGAAAATAAATTTATATTTTATTATCCTCATTTTATTAAAAAATCATTGATCATCTATGGGATTAAAAAATATGATGAGTTTAACGAATACGAGAACAGTTTATGTACCAAACTTGAAAGATTGTTAAGATATTTAGTTTTACTTTGAAGATAAAACGAAATTATCCCACACATGAAATTTTCAATATTGTTAAGTCATCCATTTTTGAAATTGCATTTTAACTCTTATTGAAGTGTATAGATATAAATAAGTAAATATATTTATAATATAACAGTCACTCAAATAGCTGTGCGAATAAATTCCTCTGTTGCTGGGTTTATTTTATTTGCACTATTAATTCCGAAGAAAAATTAATAATTCTAAATTTGTTTTCTGTTACATTTCCCCTCGAATAACTGCTCTCAACACTCAAAGCAATTTTTTAAATACAAAAGAACTCAGTTCAAAAACAATTGCGGAATTATACATACATGCGATCACGTTATGAATGTCAATGACTTAGACATGGCAATTCTCTGTATAAAGGATAGCATAAAATTTACTTCTTTGAATTAGAGATTTTTCTTATAATCGCAAAATTCCATGGAAACAGACCAGTTAGATTGAAACTTCTCAATTTAAACTTATAATTCCTTAATATTTATTGCTGCTTGGGTCAATGCCTTTGCTCTGTTTTGATTGGTCTCAATTTCATTCAAGATCTGTTGCAGTACCGTCATATGCGTTTATGCAATTTTGCAAGTAAATAGACTTTGAGCCAATTAAATGACTAAATAAGTGCAAACGTTTTCCTGAAATTAACTTCCAAACTGCTCGGCGTGAATTTAGATGAAGTAATTTTTGTAGCGAAGATTATTTTAGATAAAAATGTTTTTTTTTCTGACAACATCATTTATTATTTATAATATAACCCTGCTATTTAAGCATGCAAAATTTTAGAAATTTGTAGATTTTAGTAAAATATTTTAAAGCATTATACATTTCAATAAAAAAATGTTAGCCTCAGTGGACACAACACCTTTTGAATTAGGAAATCAATGTAACTAAATGAATACAATTTTAAAATTGTCCTAAAAAAATTGAACATGCTAATTTATAGGGAAAATATATAGTTGAACGTTAATGATGCTTATACAAGGAAATTTAAACGAGAACACTATTTTTTAAATTTGTGCTTGAGAAATAAATTAACATACTTGACGTTTTTTGACCATCACTTTTGGAACACATATGAAAAATATTTTTTAAAAATGTGACTTTATGGAACTGATTCCAAAATGGCGCCTTTGATTCATATCATTCTGATTATTTTGTATCAATCAAATTCGTCGAAAAAATGTACTATTTGTGTAAAATAAA